GTAGAGAACAATCCATTATAAAGCCATTCATTCCCAGGTGCACGACACCACACTGGCATCAGAACACTGAAGAAGTGAAGCATTTCCAGCCCTGGTGTCTGAGTCGGGGAGGAGGGGAACTCCAGGAAGTCTGGATCTTTCTCACTCACCGAAGACTGGGAGAAGCCACCTGATTTTCACAGGCAAATTACAAACACCCAGCTAGTTACATCCCGAACCTCAGAGAGAATGTCACCAGCTCTCAGTAATAACTCTCTATGATCCTTTGTATTGAAATAAATTCAAAGAAGAAGAAAACAGCAGTGGGGAGAATCACCAGGACCCCTATCTCTGTTCAATCTGAAACCGGCTTCCCCAAAGTTCCAATACCAAATACATTGAGTTCTTTGTGTGTTTTTAGACCATAGACAAGCGGCCCTCCCACTCACAGTTCTTTCCCCCACCCAAGACATCTTAGGCCATTTCTGCCATCAAAGTGTCCTCAGGGTGGTGCCTAAAGCAGAAGTGAAAGGATGTGGGTGAAGGGGGTGGTAGGAAGCTCCCAAAAGTGTTGGCACTCAAGGAAGATCCCTGAGAAGCAGAGGGAATCCACAGCAGCTTTAACTCGGAAGCAGAAGCGTGGTGCAAGTGCCGGAGTGTAACTCAGCAGTCACATGGAGGGCTGGCTCTGAGCCGGGGCGTCTCGCTGAGCAACACTGGAGGGGCAGGAACAAGAGCAAGCCCCGCGTTGCAGGCTGGGCGTGGAGCAGCACCCAGAGTGACTCTAAGCAACGAGGCAAGCACACGGCTCCCACTCTGACCATGGAAAGGGATGAGGTCACCTCCCAGACGCACTCCCACCTGCGTCTCCAGGTGGGGGCCTGGTGCCTGCCTGGCAATCTCTTGGCGTTGATCCCTTCTGTCTGTACCCCTCAGTGAAAGGGCAGTCGTGGCTCACACAGACCTCATGTCCCCAGCCACTTCGTCTTCTTGGAAAGAACCAGAAATAATGACTTACTCATCTACTGTTGATCGACAGATTTCTGCACAACACACAGCCTTTCATGGGGACTCCAGTTAAAGGAAAATCAAACATCTGTGTGTAACAAGAGTTGGAAACCACATCACCCTGGGCTGCTCTTTCTCCTAAATTTGCCTTCGCAGGAAACTGAAGAAAGGGTGCTCTGTACTTTGCTGAAAGGCCAAGCCCAGGAGCTTTTTGTTAGGGGAGAAAACAAGAAAAGCCCAGGATAGGCTGTGCCACAGCTCCAGAGCAGGCGGGGCCCCAGGTTCTCAGTAGAAAATAAAATGAGAAGTAGCGTGCTCACATCATGGCTGCCACCTGTCGTAACAGCACAAGCTGATGCCCTGCCGTCAGACGTGGGCATTGGGCTATGCAAGAACGGCCAGTGGTCTGGGGTACTCAACCTGGGGACCTTAAAAATGTCTCATCTCTGCTCCTACCTACGGATTCTGATTAAGTTGGTCAGGACTAAGGTCTAGGCATTAGCTGCTTTTAAAGCTTCACAGGTAGTTCAAACACACACTTGGGTCTAATATGCACATACTCTCCAAGGTGGGAAGGAGTCAGTTGAGTTTTCTCGAAGAATCATTTATCATATTTATTCAATTGGCAAACACATATTGATCCCTCTGATGGGTCAAGCACAGAACCAGGGGCCTGATTTATAAGATCCAGTTCCAACCTAAAGAATCCTAGAGTCTAACAGATGAGACAACAGGTGAATGAATAGCCAGTAGTAATATAGTGGAGACATGCCACTAGGCTGTGCACACAATTAGCAGGGGACCAATCCAGCTCTCCAGATACAGCCTGTTGGTGGAGAGGGTGTACCAGACCCAGGCAATAGTTTTTGCAAAACTTCTGAGGAAAAAAAAAATACAGAGAACATTTCAGACACCCCAAGGAATTCAGTAGGATCAGATGTTAGTCTGAAAGCCTGATAGAGAAGGCTGGAGAGGTAGGGACCAATTCCTTGCAGAGAAGTCAGAGGGAATGGGGTTTTAAGTAGGAGAGTGGAGTGATCAGAGCTGTTTTGGGGAAAGATTATTCTGATTACTGGGTGGAAAACAGATCAGAGGGACATAAGACAGAACATAGGGAAGTCAATTCCAAGATAGTTGCAGCAATCATGGCAAGATTTCACCAGGACAGATTTAAGCAGTATTAGCAGAGGAAAAGCTTGGTGACTATGGATGCGTTGGGACTGGGATGGGGAGGCCAGGAGGAGGTCCCAGCTTGTGACTTGAGTGCTCCAGAGAGTCAGGTAATGCCAGGCCAAGAGCAAGGGGTGGGGGGCAGGAAGTGTGTGATGTGGTAACCTTCAGAGGCCTTCAAAGGAAAAGTTCTAAAGATTATAACTTTGGCTGGTCAGACCTAACAGAACTGCTGCAAGTTCTGATTTTTGTGTACTCACAGAGTGCAAGGCATTCTAACAATAATTGGAATATCTGATTCCTCTGAAATCTTGAGAATATACACCAGATGGGCAAAAGGGAGTTTGAATGAAATGAAAGATGCATGGCCTAGGGGAGTGTTGGATTAGAAGGCAGGCAGGGCCAAGGGCACAGAGTTATTTTCTGTTTCCTGCTCAAGCTGGGACAGACTCTCCTTTCACCACCTGATCTGAAGATGCCTCAGGTGAGGTCCAGGATCAAATGAACAAAAGACCTGAAGATGAAAACCTAGGTATAGGTGCTTGGTACCCTTGTCTGTGGCTTCTCAGGTGGCTCAGTTGTAAAGAACCCACCTGCCAACGAAGGAGGCGTGGGTTTGATCCCTGGGTCTGATCCCTGGGTTGGGAAGATCCCCTGGAGGAGGCAAGGCAACCCACCCCAGTATCCTTGCCTGGGAAATCCCATGGACAGAGGAGCCTGGCGGGCTACAGTCTATGGGGTTGCAAAGAGCTGGACACGACTGAGCATATGCGCCCACACCCTTGTCTTCAGAGCATCTGACAAAGTAAAATCATCACACCCATGTGGTTTCGCAAGGCAAACGTGTAAGCAGAGGTGTAAGCAGCTTCGTTTATTCGAGTAAATAGCTTGTAAATAAATCATTGGTAAACATTACAAAATTAAATACATTTTCAAAAGCTTGCCAGTGTACATAAAATTCACAAACATAGTTCTTTTAAAAAATAAAATATGTTCAGAGCACCCTTGATATAAAATGCCTGACCCCTGTCCTCTGACAGGGCCACCTAGAGACACCGTACGGTAGGGAGGGGGGTTTCTATGGGAGGCAGTGGGGGCTTCCCGGAGGACACCAAGAGTTTCTACTCTGACCTTTGACCCCACTCACATCCAGCTGCATTTTGATCCTTCTCCAAGGAACCAGTATCGAACTGAGAGGGGCTCAGCAGTGCAAGAACGGCCAGTGGTCTGGGGTACTCAACCTGGGGACCTTAAAAATGTCTCATCTCTGCTCCTACCTACGGATTCTGATTAAGTTGGTCAGGACTAAGGTCTAGGCATTAGCTGCTTTTAAAGCTTCACAGGTAGTTCAAACACACACTTGGGTCTAATATGCACATACTCTCCAAGGTGGGAAGGAGTCAGTTGAGTTTTCTCGAAGAATCATTTATCATATTTATTCAATTGGCAAACACATATTGATCCCTCTGATGGGTCAAGCACAGAACCAGGGGCCTGATTTATAAGATCCAGTTCCAACCTAAAGAATCCTAGAGTCTAACAGATGAGACAACAGGTGAATGAATAGCCAGTAGTAATATAGTGGAGACATGCCACTAGGCTGTGCACACAATTAGCAGGGGACCAATCCAGCTCTCCAGATACAGCCTGTTGGTGGAGAGGGTGTACCAGACCCAGGCAATAGTTTTTGCAAAACTTCTGAGGAAAAAAAAAATACAGAGAACATTTCAGACACCCCAAGGAATTCAGTAGGATCAGATGTTAGTCTGAAAGCCTGATAGAGAAGGCTGGAGAGGTAGGGACCAATTCCTTGCAGAGAAGTCAGAGGGAATGGGGTTTTAAGTAGGAGAGTGGAGTGATCAGAGCTGTTTTGGGGAAAGATTATTCTGATTACTGGGTGGAAAACAGATCAGAGGGACATAAGACAGAACATAGGGAAGTCAATTCCAAGATAGTTGCAGCAATCATGGCAAGATTTCACCAGGACAGATTTAAGCAGTATTAGCAGAGGAAAAGCTTGGTGACTATGGATGCGTTGGGACTGGGATGGGGAGGCCAGGAGGAGGTCCCAGCTTGTGACTTGAGTGCTCCAGAGAGTCAGGTAATGCCAGGCCAAGAGCAAGGGGTGGGGGGCAGGAAGTGTGTGATGTGGTAACCCTCAGAGGCCTTCAAAGGAAAAGTTCTAAAGATTATAACTTTGGCTGGTCAGACCTAACAGAACTGCTGCAAGTTCTGATTTTTGTGTACTCACAGAGTGCAAGGCATTCTAACAATAATTGGAATATCTGATTCCTCTGAAATCTTGAGAATATACACCAGATGGGCAAAAGGGAGTTTGAATGAAATGAAAGATGCATGGCCTAGGGGAGTGTTGGATTAGAAGGCAGGCAGGGCCAAGGGCACAGAGTTATTTTCTGTTTCCTGCTCAAGCTGGGACAGACTCTCCTTTCACCACCTGATCTGAAGATGCCTCAGGTGAGGTCCAGGATCAAATGAACAAAAGACCTGAAGATGAAAACCTAGGTATAGGTGCTTGGTACCCCTGTCTGTGGCTTCTCAGGTGGCTCAGTTGTAAAGAACCCACCTGCCAACGAAGGAGGCGTGGGTTTGATCCCTGGGTCTGATCCCTGGGTTGGGAAGATCCCCTGGAGGAGGCAAGGCAACCCACCCCAGTATCCTTGCCTGGGAAATCCCATGGACAGAGGAGCCTGGCGGGCTACAGTCTATGGGGTTGCAAAGAGCTGGACACGACTGAGCATATGCGCCCACACCCTTGTCTTCAGAGCATCTGACAAAGTAAAATCATCACACCCATGTGGTTTCGCAAGGCAAACGTGTAAGCAGAGGTGTAAGCAGCTTCGTTTATTCGAGTAAATAGCTTGTAAATAAATCATTGGTAAACATTACAAAATTAAATACATTTTCAAAAGCTTGCCAGTGTACATAAAATTCACAAACATAGTTCTTTTAAAAAATAAAATATGTTCAGAGCACCCTTGATATAAAATGCCTGACCCCTGTCCTCTGACAGGGCCACCTAGAGACACCGTACGGTAGGGAGGGGGGTTTCTATGGGAGGCAGTGGGGGCTTCCCGGAGGACACCAAGAGTTTCTACTCTGACCTTTGACCCCACTCACATCCAGCTGCATTTTGATCCTTCTCCAAGGAACCAGTATCGAACTGAGAGGGGCTCAGCAGGTGCCCCAGGCTCAGCTCCAAGCAAAGGGATTGAATCGGGGTGCACGATTAGGGCCACGGTCCTCAGCATAAGCCACTGAGAGAAGCCAGAAAGGAAATCTCTACCACACTTCCAAACCAGCCAATGCTCTTGCATTGACTTTCTTCAGTGGAGCTGAGGTTTTTCTCAGTTGTACACCAGCTCATCGCTCAGCTCACCCACCCTGGTCTGATGCCCCCCAGGTACAGAAGTGACCAGATCTACTTCTAAGGAGGAAGATACTGAATCTGCTCACTTCCTTATGACCTGCTTTCATGGAGAGAGAATAATACATGGTATTTGGTAGAAAGCACAGAATGAATTGCTACACGGCGCTTTCTGGTTCCACGGCTAAACACCCCTCAGATAGTGTGAACATTTCTCAAGAAATTCGAATAGTCATTCAAAGAAAGGGTTCAGAAAACTTTAAAATACCACAAATGAGGCAATAAGTACATGACCTGGCAAAGCATCCCGATTAACAGAATAATACAAAGTCCATAAATTAAGCCCTTGGCCAACTCCACATTGTTGTAGTGTAGCTCATTAAAGATACGCTGAGTTCTTTTCACTTTGCTGCAGAAAGTGAACATTGGAGGTCTCCAGCACTCACACGAAGAAGACCTAGTGGCCTCTTGAAAACACACGTACCATGACCTCCAATAAAAGGACGACCACAAGTTTGTTCCATCTGTGTGAAATAAAACTCACATCCACATTTTAACTTAATTGCCTGTAGATATATACAAGTACAAGAAATTTGACCTCTGTGTCAAATGTACAACTCAAGAAAAAAGTATTAACAAACTAGCTGTAAGAAAACCATCATCCCTGTATCGTTAGGTCCTTAACATCTGGTTTCTCTAAGAAGATGCTGCCTGGTCCAGCCCCTCCTTCCGTGTCTGCCTGATTTGATGCTCTCTGGTTGGGCTGAAGCCAGAGTCTGTGATATCTTTGCTATTAAAATATTACAGCAACCAAACCTTTAAAAACCAAAAAAGGAACACTCTTGAATAAATGTCTAATAGATACCACCCCTCCCCACCCCCCAAAATAGTTGCTCATAAGGACAACAGTTCTTTAAGAAAAGTCTTCTTGAAGTCCAAATTCCTTCCTGGGTCTCCAGCAGAGTTCCACCTGGGCTGGAATTATACAGCCTTCTTCTGCGGGGGGCTCAACTTCCTCATGCCTCTTATCCGAGAGAGCAGCTCCTTGACGAACTCCTAAAAGAGATCAGAAGAAGCTATTATGAGAAAGTCACAATATTCAAATAAGCAAATTTAAAATCTGCTTGAAGTCACTGACTTCATCTGCAGCTAACTTTAATTGATGAGCTTGGTTGGATGTGTTAACCCAACTGGTACAGTATAGGACATTTTTAAAGAAATGAAGATACTTAAACTTCTCACCATCCTGCCTTCTCACTGCTGTACTCTCTTTAAAGAGAAAAAAACCAAGCTGCCTTCATTCATTGACATTATCTATTTGGCCCCTGAAAGCCTATGTGGTTTAGATCAATGTTTCACTAACTTCACTAAATCTTTAACACTTGTTTACAAATCACCAGGGAAATGTGTGGATTCTGAATGAATAAGTCTGGTTGGGGCTGAAGATTTTTCATTTCCAACTGGCCACCAAATGATGCAGCATTAGTCTCTGAATCTCACTTGAAATAGCTAAACTAGACCCATGGTTTTCACACCACGGGTGTACACATCAAATCACTGGTGGGGAAGGAGGGCTTATTAAATAAACTCCAGAGTGCTCAGCCCACTCCCCCCCACCCCCAGAGTTTCTGATTCAGTAGATACAGGCTGTGACCTGAGAAGTTGCATTTCTGACAAGCTTCCAGGTGATACCTATGCTTCTGGTCTCAGGATCTTACTGAGAACCAAGGGTCTAGATCATAATAGAAGTTTCTTGACTTTTTTGGACTGCAAATCACAGTTTGAAAAGAAAAACAAGACACATTTATATCTACAACCCAGTACATACAAAAATACATCTGAAATAAAAACTTAAAGAATGAATACTTACCATATGCTACAGACTCTTTTTTTATTCCACTCTAATTTCATTTAAAATGTAATACTGGGGAAGACCCACTAAAATGATGCTGTGACTATTCATGGATCAGAACCCAAAGAACAATCTAGAATAGTTCTCACTTTAAGCCATCAGCAATCTTTCATTGTTGCCTCATGTGTTAAAGTTTCTGGCTACTAAATAAGTCGCATTTATTAGATAATAATTACTTTGTCTTCCTTTTTTTAGATTTGTTGAAACAAAGCTGACAGCCAATCAGAGTTTCTGATCTGCAAGGGACAGCCAGTGAGTGACAGAACTGCGCACAGCAGGGACATCCTGGAGCAAAAATGTTAAGGAGACTTCCTTTCTTTTAAGACCTCTGAAAAACAGCTTTCAATCACCCCCCAATTACAACCCTCAGCCATAGGTCCCAGACTTCTGGGAGCACAGTCCCTGTGCTTCTATCCAGCTCTAAAACATAATATGCTTAAACAGTTAATATATGAGGAGCTGCCGCGATTTCTTTTTTAATAATCTTTTTGCTATTATAAAAGTTACATGTGCTTTTTCTAGAAAATCCAGAAAATATAAACCAACAACAATTACTCCTCAGAATGAACCACTATTAACATGTTTTCTTCTATGGAAATTATTTTTACCTAATTAAGATTATAATGTATAAGTATATTCTTTATTTGCACTTAGCATTGTGTGTGTGTGTCAGTCACTCGGTCATGTCCAACTGTTTGTGACCCCACGGACTCTGACTCTAGCCCACGAGGCTCCTTTGTCCATGGAATTCTCCAGGTAAGAATGCTGGAATGGGTAGCCATTCCCTTCTCCAGGGGATCTTCCCAACCCAGGGATCGAACCCGGGTCTCCTGCATTGCAGGCAGATTCTTTATTATCTGAGCCACTAGGAAAGCCCACACCTAGCATTAAGTCAAGTCTTTTCCCCACAACATTAAATAGTCTTTTTAAAAAATTAATTTTAATAGTTATACAGTCCTTTATTATATGGATGTTCTGCAATCTGTTTAATTCCTCCATCACTGGATATTTGGCTGGTTTCTGGCTTTTCAAAAGTATAAACAATGCCACAATTAACATCTTTGTGTATAAATCTCTGTATACAATTTGGATTATTCCCTTTGGAGAGCTATTCTGTAGTAGGTCAAAGGACATAAACATTTTAATCACCACCATTTCTGAACTTGGACAGAAGACATAAATATGGGTATGACGAGCACTGATCTAAATGACTTTCAACTGAAAACAAAACAAACAAAAAACCCTAAAAATCTTGTGATCTATACATAGTTATAGCAACCTAGTATACAGAGATGCAAGACTGAAACAAAAGCTTCACATAAAAATGTAACTCTTACTATCTGTAAGATATTTTCTATTTTATTCTATTTTGAAAAAAAATACAGATCAAGATCACTTAATGGTTACCACCCACAGTTTGTCAACACAGTGATCTAGACACAGGTTATTCAATACATTAACCCCTAACCACATTTGGCTATTTCAATTTAAACTAATTAAAATAAATAAAAATTAAAATTCACTTCCTTGGTCACACAAGCCACATTTCAAATGCTCAGTCACCATATATAATATATTAAATTAGCTAATGGTTATCATATTGAACAGTAGGATTTTTCCATCATCTCAGAAAATTCTATTGAACTGTTCAAGATGACAATACTTGGAATCACAAAACTAGATGCAAAAACCTTGGAGGAAAGCGCAAATAGAGAGGGAAAAAAGGCCAAAGACCACGGTCAGAGGCCCTCTAACAAGTGAGATCTGGCAAAGGCTTGGCACCAGAAGAGGAGACTGAAAAAGAGGAACCAATGAAATTAGGGGAAACTCAAGAAAGTGTTCTGGTTTTTCTTTCAAAATTTTTAAAAAATTTAAGTATAGTTGATTTACAATATTGCAAAGAAAGTGTGTGGTTAATAAGCCAAAAGAAGAAATTGCTGATGAGAGATTAAGTCAAAGACAAAGATATTGAATCAGGCAAGAAAAGGGCCATTGTGCCCTGGAGGAGATAAATTTTAATAGAATGGTTGGGATGGAAGCTCTCAACACTAAAAGGGCCCCAGGGACTTTTTTGTAAACAGCTTCACTAAAATATAATTGATATGCCACAAAATACACATAGTTGACGTACACAACTACTATGAGCATACTATCTATGCAATGAATATAATGGACATATCCAATACCTCCAGCTGATTTTTCATTTTCCTTGATACTCCTCCCCTCCTACGCTTATTCCTCCTGCCCCAGGAAAACACTGATCTGTTTTCTGTCATTCTAGATTCGTTTGCATTTTCTAGAGGTTTCTATAAATACAATTATAACACTCTATACTTTTTAGTCTGGCTTCTTTAGCTCAGCAAAACTATTTTAAGGTTCAGTAATACTGCTGCATGTATTAATAGTTCATTCCTACTTTGTTGCCAATTGGCATAACCCTTCAGAGAAGTATCACAATTTGTTTACCCAGTCACCTGTTGGTGGAATTTGAGTTATTCCGACTTTGGGGCTACTATGGATAAAGTTGCTTAAAAACATAAATGTTAGAGAGAGTATGGAGAAAAAGGAATCCCCTTGCACTGTTGGTGGGAATGTAAACTGATACAGCCAGTGTGGAGAACAGTATGGAAATTTCTTCAAAAATTAGGAGTAAAACCACCATGTGATCCAACAATACCACTACTAGGCATATACCCTGAGGAAGCCATAACCGAAAAAGACACATGTATCCCCAATGTATCACTGCAGCACTCTTTACTATAGCTAGGACATGGAAGCAACCTAGATGTTCATCAATAGATGAATGGATAAAGAAGTTTTGGTACATAAATACAGTGAAATATTACTCAGTCATAAAAAGGAATGCATTTGAGTCAGCTCCAATGGGGTGGATGAACCTAGAGCCTATTATATAGAGTGAAGTAAATCAGAAAGAGAAAAACAAATATCATACATTAACAAATATATATGGAATCCGGGAAGATGGTACTGATAAACTTATTTGCAGAGCAGCAATGGTGACGCAGACGTAGAGAACAGATATGTGGACATGGTGGAGGAAGGAGAGGGAGGGATGAATTGAAAGGGTAACACTGAAACATTGCAGTCCCTTGGACTGCAAGGAGATCGAACCAGTCCATCCTGAAGGAAATCAGTCCAGAGTATTCATTGGAAGGACTGATTCTGAAGCTGAAACTCCAATACTTTGGCCACCTGATGCGAAGAACCTATTCATTGGAAAAGACCCTGATGCTGGGAGGGATTGGGGGCAGGAGGAGAAGGGGATGACAGAGGATGAGATGGTTGGATGGCATCACCGACTCGATGGACATGAGTTTAAGCAAGCTCCCAGAGTTGGTGATGGACAGGGAAGCCTGGAGTGCTGTAGTCCACGGGGTTGCAAAGAGTTGGACATGACTAAGACAATGAACTGAACTGAACTGAACTGAACATTGAAACATATGCACTACCATATGTAAAATAGATAGCCAGTGGGAATTTGCTGTATGATGCTGTGAGTTCAAATCCAGTGCTCTGTGACAACCTAGAGGGGTAGGATGGGGTGGGAGGTGGAAGGGGAGGTTCAAGAGGGAGAGACATATGTATACCTATGGGTGATTCATGTTGCTGTATGGCAGAAACTCACACAATATTGTAAAGCAATTAAGAAAATAGAAAACCACACAAATCATAAAAAACATTGCTAAAAACATCATGTACAAGTCTTTGTATGAAATACGCTTCCACCTATTTTGGGTGACTACCTAGGAGTAGAAGAGCTGAGGCATTGATCTATTTAGGTGTCTATCCTTACACCAGTAAGGAAAGTGTAGGTTTTTATAAGTCTTAAAATCAGGTAATGTTAATCAGCCAAATTTATTAATCTTTTTCAAAACTATTCTAGGTTCTTTAAATTTCCTTAATAATTTTAGAATTGTTTTGCTTGTAAATGCAAATAAAAACCGGCTGGGTTTCATTAAGACTGCATTAAATCTATAGATCAATTTGGAGAGAATTGACATCTTAACAATAATAAATCTTCTCACCCATGAAAATGGTATATTTCTGTACCTATTTAAGTCTTGTTTAAGCAACATTTTTGGTTTTCAGTGTATAAATATTACACACCTTCTGTCAGATTTAT